TAAGATCTACAAAAAAGTCAGTGCGGGCGTATCTGTCAAATGTACGGTGAAAGGGCTATTTCGCATTTTTTGCCGATCCGCACACATTGGAATTTCGCTAACTCCTCCGAAGGCTTTCGTTCCAAAGGCACCACATTTGCTGAGGCCAATCTACACCCCATGGCCATTAAAAGTTGTACAAATCATGACGCTGCACCCCACGGTTTACGTTCTAGGGGGCGCCAAAGATAACCCAAAAATCCACAGTCTTAAAAGTCTTATAACTTTTTATTTTTGTCCTCACTGGCCTCCAAGTTCTCTAGGATGATGCAATGTCCAGCCATCAACACATTTGTGAAGGAATTTTTACTCGCCAAAAGAGCGCCCCCCCATGGCAGGAGAAAAAAGTCCATTTTTTCTTGTCTCCTAAGGCGAAAATACACATTGTTGACTGTCACGCCTTTACGCTTTGTCAAAATGACACAAAATTTGACACACACATGTATCTCAATAAGATCTACAAAAAAGTCAGTGCGGGCGTATCTGTCAAATGTACGGTTAAAGGGTTATTTCGCATTTTTTGCCGATCCGCACACATTGGAATTTCGCTAACTCCTCCTAAATCTTTTGTCCCATCGGCTTCAAATTTGCTCAGGTCAATCTACCCCCCATGGCCATTCAAAGTTGTACAAATCATGACGCTGCACCCCACAGTTTACGTTCTAGGGGGCGCCAAAGAGGACCCAAATATCCACATTTTTAAAAGTCTTATAACTTTTTATTTTTGTCCTCACTGGCCTCCAAGTTTTCTAGGATGATGCAATGTCCAGCCATCAACACATTTGTGAAGGAATTTTTTCTCCCCAAAAGAGCGCCCCCCCATGGCAGGAGAAAAAGTCAAGTTTTTCCTGCCCATCGCTCAATGGCTCAAACGCATCGCTCTCCCGGCAACACCGTAACGAGGAGCAACTTGCCGTTTGGATATATCCTAGCTGTGTTTGTGCCCTCACTCATGGTCCAGACTTTTTTCAAATAGGACATGTAGTTTGTCTGCAGCGAGCGTTTTGGTAGAAACTGCGCCTCCCATTCATTATAATGGGAAATGACCACAGACAAGTGCGCACACCATCTTTGGACCTTGAGTGTGACGCGATCGGGAGGGGGAGGCGGTCGCGCTGGGGGCGGCGCGACGCGGCTCGGGCCCGACAGTGCCCCACCGGGGCCCTAGTTCTTTCTTTCTTCTTTTTCCTCCCCTTTGAACTGGAAAATGGCCCACTTCCCACTGGCGAAAACTCATGAAATTTGGCAGGACGACCGGGCCTGGTGAAAAATTCGATATTCTGAAATCGCCCAAACAATAAAATGCAAAATGGCTCCATAGCGCCCCCTAAGGTGGAAATTCACACTATTGACTGTCACGCCTGTACGCTTTGTCATATTGACACAAAAATTGACACACATATGTATCTCAATAAGATCTACAAAAAAGTCAGTGCGGCCGTATCTGTCAAAATTACGGTTAAAGGGTTATTTCGCATTTTTTGCCGATCCGCACACATTGGAATTTCGCTAACTCCTCCGAAGGCTTTCGTTCCACCGGCACCACATTTGCTCAGGCCAATCTACACCCCGTGGCCATTAAAAGTTATCAAAATCATGACGCTGCACCCCAAGGTTTAGGTTCTAGGGGGCGCCAAAGATAACACTAAAATCCACATATTTAAAAGTCTTATAACTTTTTATTTTTGTCCTCACTGGCCTCCAAGTTTTCTAGGATGATGCAATGTCCAGCCATCAACACATTTGTGAAGGAATTTTTACTCCCCAAAAGAGCGCCCCCCCATGGCAGGAGAAAAAAGTCCATTTTTTCTTGTCCCCTAAGGTGAAAATACACATTGTTGAGTGTCACGCCTATACGCTTTTTCAAAATGACACAAAAATTGACACACACATGTAACTCAATAAGATCTACAAAAAAGTCAATGCGCGCGTATCTGTCAAATGTACAGTTAAAGGGTTATTCCGCATTTTTTGCCGATACGCACACATTGGAATTTCGCTAACTCCTCCGAAGGCTTTCGTTCTACCGGCACCACATTTGCTCAGGCCAATCTACACCCCATGGCCATTAAAAGTTATTCAAATCATGATGCTGCACCCCATGGTTTAGGTTCTAGGGGGCGCCAAAAATAACCCAAAAATCCACATTCTTAAATGTTTTATAACTTTTTATTTTTGTCCTCACTGGCCTCCAAGTTTTCTAGGATGATGCAATGTCCAGCCATCAACACATTTGTGAAGGAATTTTTACTCCCCAAAAGAGCGCCCCCATGGTAGGAGAAAAAAGTCAATTTTTTCTTGTCCCCTTACATAAAAATACACATTGTTGAGTGTCACGCCTGAACGCTTTGTCATATTGACACAAAAATTGACAATCATGTGTATCTCAATTAGATCTACGAAAAAGTCAAAGAGCGCGTATCTGTATAATGTACGGTAAAAGGGCTATTTTGCATTTTTTGCCGATTCGCACACATTGGAATGTGGCTATCTCCTCCTAAGGCTTTCGTCCCACCGATACCAAATTTGCTCAGGGCAATCTACACCCCATGCCCATTCAAAGTTGTAAAAATCATGACGCTGCACCCCACGGTTTACGTTCTAGGGGGCGCCAAAGATGACCCAAAAATCCACATTCTTAAAAGTCATTTTGGCCACTGCAGGAGTACAGAGTACTGCAGTTCTAGGGGGCGCCAAAGATGACCCAAAAATCCACATTCTTAAAAGTCTTTTTGGCCACTGCAGGAGTACAGAGTACTGCAGGATACACACACATATACACACACGCCAACATACACACACACACACACACACACACACTCAGAGTCTGTTTTTTAGCACCTGCAAAAACATGCTGTTTACATATTTGACAAGAATGCAGAGGCTTCCTTTTGCCCCTGAAAAAAATCAAATTTCAAACACAACTTGACTGTTCATTTCTCCAAAAGACAACCATGAAGCTCCATTTCAAACCTGAAGCAGATAGTTGGTGCATGTGTACAGTAACCTGAGGGGAGTGAGGTGACTATTTCTGAGGAGAACATGAGCAGTGAAGATTCACCTTGGAGCTAGAACAGGGACGTGCACATGATTATACAGGGGCAGGGGCTCAAGTTTTTTCCAGTCATTTATACAATATGGAAATTAATGTGAAATTAAACCACAAATATGTGTGATGAACTGTTTTTAAAACTTAAACTTCAAATAAAAATTGTAAACTTCAAAACATATGCAAATTTTTAACAAAGAACATAGTAATTTACCTCTATTTACATCAAAATGCAGGCAATGGCCCAGGCGTTCTTTGTAAAATTATTTACAAAACACTGTATAGTCTCACAAATGTCACTTTTTATTTATGCCACTACAAAAAAACATGATGTAAATGATGCATGATGTAAAACATGATGTAAAAAACTTGTGTAGATCCTCCTCTATGTCAGTCCATGTGTAATTTTTCCATAATTCTTTGTTTTTTGCAGCATTTTTGTTAGTGTAACTGCAGATTGTGCTGACAGTGTCTATGGCACAAAAAAAAAAAAAATTAAAATGCCTCAACATGAACCCCTGGTGGTCTCTGAGGGTGAAACCTGCTAACTGCTGCAGCTCTGTCAGCTTCAGTCTCCCATGCAGAGCTCTGAGCGCATGTGTGGCTCTGCACCCTTAGCAGCGTTGCTAACTCCTCAGTAAGGAAAGCCTGCTTCATGTCAGAGTCTCTAAACTCCAGAAGAAGTCGATAAAAGTCCCTTTCTTTCTAAAAAAAAGTCGTTAGGGGGTCTGAAAAGTCATTGAATCTAACAACAAAGTCGCTAGGTTTGCAACTACGTGTCCCAGACTGCATCCCTGCTGAGAGTCCCTCCCTCCCTTCTCATGTTGCAGGAAGAACGTAAGCGCCCGCCCCTTGTCAATCAGTCACCATATAATTTTGGATTGGTTGTTGTGGTGAAGTTTTCCACCAATAGGAGAGATGTTGTGGTGTGTTTTTTTTTTCTTTTGGCAAGCCTTTTCCGCCTGTAAGACCTGTCGCTAATGTCTGCATGCTATGTTTTCCTGTCTCATACAGCGCGATCGAGCGCCGAACGTGATCAAAATAAGCAGAAAAAAAGTATCGCGGACATAATTTATCATAACTCTGGTTTTATTTGGCCTATCAACACAATTTAAAAACTGGTATATAGGTTGCGGTCCTCACTTTTGAGATAAGTTGAAACGGAGAGTCAACGAGGCTCCGTCTTGCAGCTACATCCGGTTAAATATGTCATGTGACTTGAACGCACACACAGACACACACACACGCACACACACACACACACACACACACACACACACACACACACACACACACTCAGAGTCTGGTTTTTAGCACCTGCAAAAACATGCTATTTACATATTTGACAAGAATGCAGAGGCTCCTTTTGCCCCTGAAAAAGATCAAATTTCAAACACAACTTGACTGGTCATTTCTCCAAAAGACAACCATGAAGCTCCATCCAAACCTGAAGCAGGCAGTTGGTGCATGTGTACAGTAACCTGAGGGGAGTGAGGTGAGTGCTTCTGAGGAGAACATGAGCAGTGAAGATTCACCTTGGAGCTAGAACAGAGACATGCACATGATTATACAGGGGCAGGGGCTCAAGTTTTTTCCAGTCGTTTATACAATATGGAAATTAATGTGAAATTAAAACACAAAGTATTAATAGAAAGGTAATGACTGTCCTGTGTAGGTGACAGTGATATCCAATAGGCTAGGCACTCACGAGGCTGGCTGTGGCAAGTGTAAGTGAAAGCAACACGCACTGGCAGGAAGAACAGCAAACGCCGATGAAGGAAAAGGGTCTTTGCAGTGATGGGCGTTACCAGAGAGGGCGATGGCCAGAGGACACAAATGGGACGGGAAGGCAGCACGTTGGGGGGGGGGGGGGACGCGACACGGCTCGGGCCCGCCAGTGCCCCAACGGGGTCCTAGTGTTATTATTAGGGCCCGAGCGTAGCTGCTAAGCAGCTGCGAGAGCCCTATTATTCCCCAAGTGGTTTTTTAGGGCCCGAGCGTAGCTGCTAAGCAGCTGCGAGAGCCCTCTTGTTCCTGTAGTTTCCTTCTTTTGTTATTATTATTAGGGCCCGAGCCAGCTGCAGAGCAGCCGGGCGTAGGCCCTATTATTCCCCAAGTGGTTTTTCTTTGTTTCTTTCTTTCTTTCTTTCTTTCTTTCTTTCTTCTTTTTCCTCCCCTTTGAACTGGAAAATGGCCCACTTCCCACTGGCGAAAACTCATGAAATTTGGCAGGACGACCGGGCCTGGTGAAAAATTCGATATTCTGAAGTCGCCCAAACAATAAAATGCAAAATGGCTCCATAGCGCCCCCTAAGGTGGAAATTCACACTATTGACTGTCACGCCTGTACGCTTTGTCATATTGACACAAAAATTGACACACATATGTATCTCAATAAGATCTACAAAAAAGTCAGTGCGGCCGTATCTGTCAAAATTACGGTTAAAGGGTTATTTCGCATTTTTTGCCGATCCGCACACATTGGAATTTCGCTAACTCCTCCGAAGGCTTTCGTTCCACCGGCACCACATTTGCTCAGGCCAATCTACACCCCGTGGCCATTAAAAGTTATCAAAATCATGACGCTGCACCCCAAGGTTTAGGTTCTAGGGGGCGCCAAAGATAACACTAAAATCCACATATTTAAAAGTCTTATAACTTTTTATTTTTGTCCTCACTGGCCTCCAAGTTTTCTAGGATGATGCAATGTCCAGCCATCAACACATTTGTGAAGGAATTTTTACTCCCCAAAAGAGCGCCCCCCCATGGCAGGAGAAAAAAGTCCATTTTTTCTTGTCCCCTAAGGTGAAAATACACATTGTTGAGTGTCACGCCTATACGCTTTGTCAAAATGACACAAAAATTGACACACACATGTAACTCAATAAGATCTACAAAAAAGTCAGTGCGCGCGTATCTGTCAAATGTACAGTTAAAGGGTTATTCCGCATTTTTTGCCGATACGCACACATTGGAATTTCGCTAACTCCTCCGAAGGCTTTCGTTCCACCGGCACCACATTTGCTCAGGCCAATCTACACCCCATGGCCATTAAAAGTTATTCAAATCATGATGCTGCACCCCATGGTTTAGGTTCTAGGGGGCGCCAAAAAAAACCCAAAAATCCACATTCTTAAATGTTTCATAACTTTTTATTTTTGTCCTCACTGGCCTCCAAGTTTTCTAGGATGATGCAATGTCCAGCCATCAACACATTTGTGAAGGAATTTTTACTCCCCAAAAGAGCGCCCCCCATGGTAGGAGAAAAAAGTCCATTTTTTCTTGTCCCCTTACATAAAAATACACATTGTTGAGTGTCACGCCTGAACGCTTTGTCATATTGACACAAAAATTGACAATCATGTGTATCTCAATTAGATCTACGAAAAAGTCAAAGAGCGCGTATCTGTATAATGTACGGTTAAAGGGCTATTTTGCATTTTTTGCCGATTCGCACACATTGGAATGTGGCTATCTCCTCCTAAGGCTTTCGTCCCACCGATACCAAATTTGCTCAGGCCAATCTACACCCCATGGCCATTCAAAGTTGTAAAAATCATGACGCTGCACCCCACGGTTTACGTTCTAGGGGGCGCCAAAGATGACCCAAAAATCCACATTCTTAAAAGTCATTTTGGCCACTGCAGGAGTACAGAGTACTGCAGTTCTAGGGGGCGCCAAAGATGACCCAAAAATCCACATTCTTAAAAGTCTTTTTGGCCACTGCAGGAGTACAGAGTACTGCAGGATACACACACATATACACACACGCCAACATACACACACACACACACACACACACACACACACACACACACACACACACACTCAGAGTCTGTTTTTTAGCACCTGCAAAAACATGCTGTTTACATATTTGACAAGAATGCAGAGGCTTCCTTTTGCCCCTGAAAAAAATCAAATTTCAAACACAACTTGACTGTTCATTTCTCCAAAAGACAACCATGAAGCTCCATTTCAAACCTGAAGCAGATAGTTGGTGCATGTGTACAGTAACCTGAGGGGAGTGAGGTGACTATTTCTGAGGAGAACATGAGCAGTGAAGATTCACCTTGGAGCTAGAACAGGGACGTGCACATGATTATACAGGGGCAGGGGCTCAAGTTTTTTCCAGTCATTTATACAATATGGAAATTAATGTGAAATTAAACCACAAATATGTGTGATGAACTGTTTTTAAAACTTAAACTTCAAATAAAAATTGTAAACTTCAAAACATATGCAAATTTTTAACAAAGAACATAGTAATTTACCTCTATTTACATCAAAATGCAGGCAATGGCCCAGGCGTTCTTTGTAAAATTATTTACAAAACACTGTATAGTCTCACAAATGTCACTTTTTATTTATGCCACTACAAAAAAACATGATGTAAATGATGCATGATGTAAAACATGATGTAAAAAACTTGTGTAGATCCTCCTCTATGTCAGTCCATGTGTAATTTTTCCATAATTCTTTGTTTTTTGCAGCATTTTTGTTAGTGTAACTGCAGATTGTGCTGACAGTGTCTATGGCACAAAAAAAAAAAATTAAAATGCCTCAACATGAACCCCTGGTGGTCTCTGAGGGTGAAACCTGCTAACTGCTGCAGCTCTGTCAGCTTCAGTCTCCCATGCAGAGCTCTGAGCGCATGTGTGGCTCTGCACCCTTAGCAGCGTTGCTAACTCCTCAGTAAGGAAAGCCTGCTTCATGTCAGAGTCTCTAAACTCCAGAAGAAGTCGATAAAAGTCCCTTTCTTTCTAAAAAAAGTCGTTAGGGGGTCTGAAAAGTCATTGAATCTAACAACAAAGTCGCTAGGTTTGCAACTACGTGTCCCAGACTGCATCCCTGCTGAGAGTCCCTCCCTCCCTTCTCATGTTGCAGGAAGAACGTAAGCGCCCGCCCCTTGTCAATCAGTCACCATATAATTTTGGATTGGTTGTTGTGGTGAAGTTTTCCACCAATAGGAGAGATGTTGTGGTGTGTTTTTTTTTTCTTTTGGCAAGCCTTTTCCGCCTGTAAGACCTGTCGCTAATGTCTGCATGCTATGTTTTCCTGTCTCATACAGCGCGATCGAGCGCCGAACGTGATCAAAATAAGCAGAAAACAAGTATCGCGGACATAATTTATCATAACTCTGGTTTTATTTGGCCTATCAACACAATTTAAAAACTGGTATATAGGTTGAGGTCCTCACTTTTGAGATAAGTTGAAACGGAGAGTCAACGAGGCTCCGTCTTGCAGCTACATCCGGTTAAATATGTCATGTGACTTGAACGCACACATAGACACACACACACGCACACACACACACACACACACACACACACACACACACACACACACTCAGAGTCTGGTTTTTAGCACCTGCAAAAACATGCTATTTACATATTTGACAAGAATGCAGAGGCTCCTTTTGCCCCTGAAAAAAATCAAATTTCAAACACAACTTGACTGGTCATTTCTCCAAAAGACAACCATGAAGCTCCATCCAAACCTGAAGCAGGCACTTGGTGCATGTGTACAGTAACCTGAGGGGAGTGAGGTGAGTGCTTCTGAGGAGAACATGAGCAGTGAAGATTCACCTTGGAGCTAGAACAGAGACATGCACATGATTATACAGGGGCAGGGGCTCAAGTTTTTTCCAGTCGTTTATACAATATGGAAATTAATGTGAAATTAAAACACAAAGTATTAATAGAAAGGTAATGACTGTCCTGTGTAGGTGACAGTGATATCCAATAGGCTAGGCACTCACGAGGCTGGCTGTGGCAAGTGTAAGTGAAAGCAACACGCACTGGCAGGAAGAACAGCAAACGCCGATGAAGGAAAAGGGTCTTTGCAGTGATGGGCGTTAACAGAGAAGGCGATGGCCAGAGGACACAAATGGGACGGGGAGGCAGCACGTTGGGGGGGGGGGGGGGGGGACGCGACACGGCTCGGGCCCGCCAGTGCCCCAACGGGGTCCTAGTTATTATTTTTCCTCCCCTTTGAACTGGAAAATGGCCCACTTCCCACTGGCGAAAACTCATGAAATTTGGCAGGACGACCGGGCCTGGTGAAAAATTTGATATTCCGAAGTCGCCCAAACAAGAAAATGCAAAATGGCTCCATAGCGCCCCCTAAGGTGAAAATTCACACTATTGACTGTCACGCCTGTACGCTTTGTCAAAATGACACAAAAATTGACACACACATGTATCTCAATAAGATCTACAAAAAAGACAGTGCGGGCGTATCTGTCAAATGTACGGTTAAAGGGTTAATTCGCATTTTTTGCCAATCCGCACACATTGGAATTTCGCTAACTCCTCCGAAGGCTTTCGTTCCACCGGCACCACATTTGCTCAGGCCAATCTACACCCCATGGCCATTAAAAGTTATTCAAATCATGACGCTGCACCCCACGGTTTAGGTTCTAGGGGGCGCCAAAGATAACCCTAAGATCCACATATTTAAAAGTCTTATAACTTTTTATTTTTGCCCTCACTGGCCTCCAAGTTTTCTAGGATGATGCAATGTCCAGCCATCAACACATTTGTGAAGGAATTTTTACTCCCCAAAAGAGCGCCCCCCCATGGCAGGAGAAAAAAGTCCATTTTTTCTTGTCCCCTAAGGTGAAAATACACATTGTTGAGTGTAACACCTGTAGGCTTTGGCAAAATGACACCAAAATTGACACACACATGTATCTCGATAAGATCTACAAAAAAGTCAATGCGCACGTATCTGTCAAATGTACGGTTAAAGGGTTATTCCGCATTTTTTGCCGATCCGCACACATTGGAATTTCGCTAACTCCTCCGAAGGCTTTCGTTCCACCGGCACCACATTTTCTCAGGCCAATCTACACCCCATGGCCATTAAAAGTTATTCAAATCATGATGCTGCACCCCACGGTTTAGGTTCTAGGGGGCGCCAAAGATAACCGTAAAATCCACATATTTAAAAGTCTTATAACTTTTTATTTTTGTCCCCACTGGCCTCCAAGTTTTCTAGGATGATGCAATGTCCAGCCATCAACACATTTGTGAAGGAATTTTTACTCGCCAAAAGAGCGCCCCCCATGGCAGGAGAAAAAAGTCCATTTTTTCTTGTCCACTAAGGTGAAAATACACATTGTTGAGTGCTACGCCTGTATGTTTTGTCGTATTGACACAAAATTTTACATACACGTGTCTTTCAATAAGATCTTCGAAAAAGTCAATGGCCACGTATCTGTAAAATGTACGGTTAAAGGGTTATTTCGCATTTTTTGCAGATTCGCACACATTGGAATTTAGCTAACTCCTCCGAAGGCTTTCTTTCCACCGGCACCACATTTGCTCAGGCCAATCTACACCCCATGGCCATTAAAAGTTATTCAAATCATGACGCTGCACCCCACGGTTTAGGTTCTAGGGGGCGCCAAAGATAACCCTAAAATCCACATATTTAAAAGTCTTATAACTTTTTATTTTTGTCCTCACTGGCCTCCATGTTTTCTAGGATGATGCAATGTCCAGCCATCAACACATTTGTGAAGGAGTTTTTTCTCGTTAAAAGAGCGCCCCCCATGGCAGGAGAATAAAGTCAAGTTTTTCCTGTTCATCATTCAATGGCTCAAACGCACTGCTCTCTCGGCAAAAGCGAAAGGAGGAGCAACTTGCCATTTGGATATATCTTAGCTGTGTTTGTGCCCTCACTCATGGTCCAGACTTTTTTCAAATAGGACATGGAGTTTTTCTGCAGCGAGCGTTTTGGTAGAAACTGCGCCTCCCGTTCATTATAATGGTAAATGACCACAAACAAGTGCGCACACCATCTTTGGACCTTGAGTGTGACGCGCTCGGGTGGGGGAGGTGGTCGCGCTGGGGGCGGCGTGACACGGCTCGGGCCCGCCAGTGCCCCAACGGGGCCCTAGTTAGGGCCCGAGCGTAGCTGCTAAGCAGCTGCGAGAGCCCTCTTGTTCCTGCATGTTTCCTTCTTTTGTTATTATTATTATTTTTCCTCCCCTTTGAACTGGAAAATGGCCCACTTCCCACTGGCGAAAACTCATGAAATTTGGCAGGACGACCGGGCCTGGTGAAAAATTTGATATTCCGAAGTCGGCCAAACAATAAAATGCAAAATGGCTCCATAGCGCCCCCTAAGGTGAAAATTCACACTATTGACTGTCACGCGTGTACGCTTTGTCAAAATGACACAAAAATTGACACACACATGTATCTCAATAAGATCTACAAAAAAGTCAGTGCGGGCGTATCTGTCAAATGTACGGTTAAAGGGTTATTTCGCATTTTTTGCCGATCCGCACACATTGGAATTTCGCTAACTCCTCCGAAGGCTTTCGTTCCACCGGCACCACATTTGCTCAGGCCAATCTACACCCCATGGCCATTAAAAGTTATTCAAATCATGACGCTGCACCCCACGGTTTAGGTTCTAGGGGGCGCCAAAGATAACCCTAAGATCCACATATTTAAAAGTCTTATAACTTTTTATTTTTGCCCTCACTGGCCTCCAAGTTTTCTAGGATGATGCAATGTCCAGCCATCAACACATTTGTGAAGGAATTTTTACTCCCCAAAAGAGCGCCCCCTCATGGCAGGAGAAAAAAGTCCATTTTTTCTTGTCCCCTAAGGTGAAAATACACATTGTTGAGTGTCACGCCTGTACGCTTTGTCATATTGACACAAAATTTGACACACACATGTATCTCAATAAGATCTACGAAAAAGTCAATGCGCGCGTATCTGTCAAATGTACGGTTAAAGGGTTATTCCGCATTTTTTGCCGATCCGCACACATTGGAATTTCGCTAACTCCTCCTAAGGCTGGCGTTCCACCGGCACCACATTTGCTCAGGCCAATCTACACCCCATGGCCATTAAAAGTTATTCAAATCATGACGCTGCACCCCACGGTTTAGGTTCTAGGGGGCGCCAAAGATAACCCTAAAATCCACATATTTCAAAGTCTTATAACTTTTTATTTTTGTCCTCACTGGCCTCCAAGTTTTCTAGGATGATGCAATGTCCAGCCATCAACACATTTGTGAAGGAATTTTTACTCCCCAAAAGAGCGCCCCCCCATGGCAGGAGAAAAAAGTCAATTTTTTCCCGTCCCCTAAGGTGAAAATACACATTGTTGAGTGTCACGCCTGTACGCTTTGTCATAGTGACACAAAATTTGACAATCACGTGTATCTCAATAAGATCTACGAAAAAGTCAATGGGTGCGTATCTGTTAAATGTATGGTTAGAGGGCTATTTTGCATTTTTTGCCGATTCGCACACATTGGAATGTGGCTAACTCCTCCTAAGGCTTTCGTCCCACTGAAACCAAATTTGCTCAGGCCAATCTACACCCCATGGCCATTCAAAGTTGTAAAAATCATGACGCTGCACCCCACGGTTTACGTTCTAGGGGGCGCCAAAGATGACCAAAAAATCCACATTCTTAAAAGAATCCACATCCCCCCCCCCCCAAGGCAGGAGAAAAAGTCCAGTTAACCCTGCCCATCGCTCAATGGCTCAATCGCATTGCTCTCCCGGCAACACCGTAAGGAGGAGCAACTTGCCATTTGGATATTTCCTAGCTGTGTTTGTGCCCTCACTCATGGTCCAGACTTTTTTCAAATAGGACATGTAGTTTGTCTGCAGCGACCGTTTTGGTAGAAACTGCGCCTCCCATTCATTATAATGGGAAATGACCACAGACAAGTGCGCACACCATCTTTGGACCTTGAGTGTGATGCGATCGGGAGGGGGAGGCGGTCGCGCTGGGGGCGGCGCGACGCGGCTCGGGCCCGACAGTGCCCCACCGGGGCCCTAGTTAGGGCCCGAGCGTAGCTGCTAAGCAGCTGCGAGAGCCCTCTTGTTCCTGTAGTTTCCTTCTTTTGTTATTATTATTATTTTTCCTCCCCTTTGAACTGGAAAATGGCCCACTTCCCACTGGCGAAAACTCATGAAATTTGGCAGGACGACCGGGCCTGGTGAAAAATTTGATATTCCGAAGTCGCCCAAACAAGAAAATGCAAAATGGCTCCATAGCGCCCCCTAAGGTGAAAATTCACACTATTCACTGTCACGCCTGTACGCTTTGTCAAAATGACACAAAAATTGACACACACATGTATCTCAATAAGATCTACAAAAAAGTCAGTGCGGGCGTATCTGTCAAATGTACGGTTAAAGGGTTATTTCGCATTTTTTGCCGATCCGCACACATTGGAATTTCGCTAACTCCTCCGAAGGCTTTCGTTCCACCGGCACCACATTTGCTCAGGCCAATCTACACCCCATGGCCATTAAAAGTTATTCAAATCATGACGCTGCACCCCACGGTTTAGGTTCTAGGGGGCGCCAAAGATAACCCTAAGATCCACATATTTAAAAGTCTTATAACTTTTTATTTTTGCCCTCACTGGCCTCCAAGTTTTCTAGGATGATGCAATGTCCAGCCATCAACACATTTGTGAAGGAATTTTTACTCCCCAAAAGAGCGCCCCCCCATGGCAGGAGAAAAAAGTCCATTTTTTCTTGTCCCCTAAGGTGAAAATACACATTGTTGAGTGTAACACCTGTACGCTTTGGCAAAATGACACAAAAATTGACACACACATGTATCTCAATAAGATCTACGAAAAAGTCAATGCGCGCGTATCTGTTAAATGTACGGTTAAAGGGTTATTCCGCATTTTTTGCCGATCCGCACACATTGGAATTTCGCTAACTCCTCCGAAGGCTTTCGTTCCACCGGCACCACATTTGCTCAGGCCAATCTACACCCCATGGCCATTAAAAGTTATTCAAATCATGACGCTGCACCCCACAGTTTAGGTTCTAGGGGGCGCCAAAGATAACCGTAAAATCCACATATTTCAAAGTCTTATAACTTTTTATTTTTGTGCCCACTGGCCTCCAAGTTTTCTAGGATGATGCAATGTCCAGCCATCAACACATTTGTGAAGGAATTTTTACTCGCCAAAAGAGCGCCCCCCCATGGCAGGAGAAAAAAGTCCATTTTTTCTTGTCCACTAAGGTGAAAATACACATTGTTGAGTGCTACGCCTGTATGTTTTGTCGTATTGACACAAAATTTTACATACACGTGTATTTCAATAAGATCTTCGAAAAAGTCAATGGCCACGTATCTGTAAAATGTACGGTTAAAGGGTTATTTCGCATTTTTTGCAGATTCGCACACATTGGAATTTCGCTAACTCCTCCGAAGGCTTTCGTTCCACCGGCACCACATTTGCTCAGGCCAATCTACACCCCATGGCCATTAAAAGTTATTCAAATCATGACGCTGCACCCCACGGTTTAGGTTCTAGGGGGCGCCAAAGATAACCCTAAAATCCACATATTTAAAAGTCTTATAACTTTTTATTTTTGTCCTCACTGGCCTCCATGTTTTCTAGGATGATGCAATGTCCAGCCATCAACACATTTGTGAAGGAGTTTTTTCTCGTTAAAAGAGCGCCCCCCATGGCAGGAGAATAAAGTCAAGTTTTTCCTGTTCATCATTCAATGGCTCAAACGCACTGCTCTCTCGGCAAAAGCGAAAGGAGGAGCAACTTGCCATTTGGATATATCTTAGCTGTGTTTGTGCCCTCACTCATGGTCCAGACTTTTTTCAAATAGGACATGGAGTTTTTCTGCAGCGAGCGCTTTGGTAGAAACTGCGCCTCCCGTTCATTATAATGGTAATTGACCACAAACAAGTGCGCACACCATCTTTGGACCTTGAGTGTGACGCGATCGGGTGGGGGAGGCGGTCGCGCTGGGGGCGGCGTGACACGGCTCGGGCCCGCCAGTGCCCCAACGGGGCCCTAGTTCTTTCTTTCTTTCTTCTTTTTCCTCCCCTTTGAACTGGAAAATGGCCCACTTCCCACTGGCGAAAACTCAGGAAATTTGGCAGGACGACCGGGCCTGGTGAAAAATTCGTTATTCTGAAGTCGCCCAAACAATAAAATGCAAAATGGCTCCATAGCGCCCCCTAAGGTGGAAATTCACACTATTGACTGTCACGCCTGTACGCTTTGTCATATTGACACAAAAATTGACACACATATGTATCTCAATAAGATCTACAAAAAAGTCAGTGCGGGCGTATCTGTCAAATGTACGGTTAAAGGGTTATTTCGCATTTTTTGCCGATCCGCACACATTGGAATTTCGCTAACTCCTCCGAAGGCTTTCGTTCCACCGGCACCACATTTGCTCAGGCCAATCTACACCCCATGGCCATTAAAAGTTATTCAAATCATGACGCTGCACCCCACGGTTTAGGTTCTAGGGGGCGCCAAAGATAACCCTAAAATCCACATTTTTAAAAGTCTTATAACTTTTTATTTTTGTCCTCACTGGCCTCCAAGTTTTCTAGGATGATGCAATGTCCAGCCATCAACACATTTGTGAAGGAATTTTTACTCCCCAAAAGAGCGCCCCCCCATGGCAGGAGAAAAAAGTCCATTTTTTCTTGTCCCCTAAGGTGAAAATACACATTGTTGAGTGTCACGCCTATACGCTTTGTCAAAATGACACAAAAATTGACACACACATGTATCTCAATAAGATCTACAAAAAAGTCCATGCGCGCGTATCTGTCTAATGTACGGTTAAAGGGTTATTCCGCATTTTTTGCCGATTCGCACACATTGGAATTTCGCTAACTCCTCCGAAGGCTTTCGTTCCACCGGCACCACATTTGCTCAGGCCAAATTACACCCCATGGCCATTAAAAGTTATTCAAATCATGACGCTGCACCCCACGGTTTACGTTCTAGGGGGCGCCAAAGATAACCCAAAAATCCACATTTTTAAAAGTCTTATAACTTTTTATTTTTGTCCTCACTGGCCTCCAAGTTTTCTAGGATGATGCAATGTCCAGCCATCAACACATTTGTGAAGGAATTTTTACTCCCCAAAAGAGCGCCCCCCATGGCAGGAGAAAAAAGTCCATTTTTTCTTGTCCCCTAAGGTGAAAATACACATTGTTGACTGTCACGCCTGTACGCTTTGGCAAAATGACACAAAAATTGACAATCATGTGTATCTCAATTAGATCTACGAAAAAGTCAAAGAGCGCGTATCTGTATAATGTACGGTAAAAGGGCTATTTTGCATTTTTTGCCGATTCGCACACATTGGAATTTTGCTAACTCCTCCTAAGGCTTTCGTCCCACTGACACCAAATTTGCTCAGGCCAATCTACACTCCATGGCCATTCAAAGTTGTAAAAATCATGACGCTGCACCCCACGATTTACGTTTTAGGGGGCGCCAAAGATGACCCAAATATACATTACAGTAGACAAAGTAGTTTTGCCCACTGAGTGGCGCCAAAGGGACTTGTCTGTGGAGTCTGTGAGTCACTATTGGCCGTTTTTGACTACTTTAGATTTTACCTTTATATTTCCTCTCACAAAATTTTTACCTTGCCTTGCCTGGTATCATTTTTTTCAGCACAACCTCACCTGTGTCAATTTACAGTTATTTTATCATTTTGACATACTATATTTACACATTGGACCCAAATTCACACACAAAACATAAAATCCGAGTGGAAAAAAGTAACGTTTTTACTGTGAAAACCACAAATATGTGTGATGAACTGTTTTTAAACTTAAACTTCAAATAAAAATTGTAAACTTCAAAACATATGCAAATTTTTAACAAAGAACATAGTAATTTACCTCTATTGACATCAAAATGCAGGCAATGGCCCAGGTGTTCTTTGTAAAATTATTTACAAAACACTGTATAGTCTCACAAATGTCACTTTTTATTTATGCCACTACAAAAAAACATGATGTAAATGATGCATGATGTAAAACATGATGTAAAAAACTTGTGTAGATCCTCCTCTATGTTAGTCCATGTGTAATTTTTCCATAATTCTTTGTTTTTTGCAGCATTTTTGTTAGTGTAACTGCAGATTGTGCTGACAGTGTCTATGGCAAAAAAAAAAAAAAAACTGAAAATGCCTCAACATGAACCCCTGGTGGTCTCTGAGGGTGAAACCTGCTAACTGCTGCAGCTCTGTCAGCTTCAGTCTCCCATGCAGAGCTCGGAGCGCATGTGTGGCTCTGCACCCTTAGCAGCGTTGCTAACTCCTCAGTAAGGAAAGCCTGCTTCATGTCAGAGTCTCTAAACTCCAGAAGAAGTCGATAAAAGTCACTTTCTTTCTAAAAAAAAGTCGTTAGGGGGTCTGAAAAGTCATTGAATCTAACAACAAAGTCGCTAGGTTTGCAACTACGTGTCCCAGACTGCATCCCTGCTGAGAGTCCCTCCCTCCCTTCTCATATTGCAGGAAGAACGCAAGTTCCCGCCCCTTGTCAATCAGTCACCATATAATTTTGGATTGGTTGTTGTGGTGAAGTTTTCCACCAATAGGAGAGATGTTGTGGTGTGTTTTTTTTTTTCCTTTGGCAAGCCTTTTCCGCCTGTAAGACCTGTCGCTAATGTCTGCATGCTATGTTTTCCTGTCTCATACAGCGCGATCGAGCGCCGAACGTGATCAAAATAAGCAGAAAACAAGAATCGTGGACATAATTTATCATAACTCTGGTTTTATTTGGCCTATCAACACAATTTAAAAACTGGTATATAGGTTGAGGTCCTCACTTTTGAGATAAATTGAAACGGAGAGTCAACGAGGCTCCGTCTTGCAGCTACATCCAGTTAAATATGTCATGTGACTTGAACGCACACACACACACACACACACACACACACACACACACACACACACACACACAGACACACACACACACGCACACACACACACTCAGAGTCTGGTTTTTAGCACCTGCAAAAACATGCTATTTACATATCTGACAAGAATGCAGAGGCTCCTTTTGCCCCTGAAAAAAATCAGATTTCAAACACAACTTGACTGGTCATTTCTCCAAAAGACAACCATGAAGCTCCATCCAAACCTGAAGCAGGCAGTTGGTGCATGTGTACAGTAACCTGAGGGGAGTGAGGTGACTGCTTCTGAGGAGAACATGAGCAGTGAAGATTCACCTTAGAGCTAGAACAGAGACGTGCACATGATTATACAGGGGCAGGGGCTCAAGTTTTTTCCAGTTGTTTATATAATATGGAAATTAATGTGAAATTAAAAAACAAAGTATTAATAGAAAGGTAATGACTGTCCTGTGTAGGTGACAGTGATATCCAATAGGCTAGGCACTCACGAGGCTGGCTGTGGCAAGTGTAAGTGAAAGCAACATGCACTGGCAGGAAGAACAGCAAACGCCGATGAAGGAAAAGGGTCTTTGCAGTGATGGGCGTTACCAGAGAGGGCGATGGCCAGAGGACACAAATGGGACGGGGAGGCAGCGCGTTGGGGGGGGGACGCGACACAGCTCGGGCCCGACAGTGCCCCAACGGGGTCCTAGTCTTTGTTTCTTTTTTCTTTTTCCTCCCCTTTGAACTGGAAAATGGCCCACTTCCCACTGGCGAAAACTCATGAAATTTGGCAGGACGACCGGGCCTGGTGAAAAATTTGATATTCTGAAGTCGCCCAAACAATACAATGCAAAATGGCTCCATAGCGCCCCCTAAGGTGAAAAATTCACCTGACGCCTGTACGCTTTGTCAAAATGACACAAAAATTGACACACACATGTATCTCAATAAGATCTACAAAAAAGTCAGTGCGGGCGTATCTGTCAAATGTACGGTTAAAGGGTTATTGCGCATTTTTTGCCGATCCGCACACATTGGAATTTCGCTAACTCCTCCGAAGGCTTTCGTTCCACCGGCACCACATTTGCTCAGGCCAATCTACACCCCATGGCCATTAAAAGTTATTCAAATCATGACGCTGCACCCCACGGTTTAGGTTCTAGGGGGCGCCAAAGATAACCCTAAAATCCACATATTTCAAAGTCTTATAACTTTTTATTTTTGCCCTCACTGGCCTCCAAGTTTTCTAGGATGATGCAATGTCCAGCCATCAACACATTTGTGAAGGAATTTTTACTCCCCAAAAGAGCGCCCCCCCATGGCAGGAGAAAAAAGTCCATTTTTTCTTGTCCCATAAGGTGAAAATTCACACTATTGACTGTCACGCCTGTACGCTTTGTCAAAATTACACAAAAATTGACACACACATGTATCTCAATAAGATCTACAAAAAAGTCAGTGCGGGCGTATCTGTCAAATGTACGGTTAAAGGGTTATTGCGCATTTTTTGCCGATCCGCACACATTGGAATTTCGCTAACTCCTCCGAAGGCTTTCGTTCCACCGGCACCACATTTGCTCAGGCCAATCTACACCCCATGGCCATTAAAAGTTATTCAAATCATGACGCTGCACCCCACGGTTTAGGTTCTAGGGGGCGCCAAAGATAACCCTAAAATCCACATATTTAAAAGTCTTATAACTTTTTATTTTTGTCCTCTCTGGCCTCCAAGTTTTCTAGGATGATGCAATGTCCAGCCATCAACACATTTGTGAAGGAATTTTTACTCCCTAAAAGAGCGCCCCCCCATGGCAGGAGAAAAAAGTCCATTTTTTCTTGTCCCATAAGGTGAAAATACACATTTTTGACTGTCAAACCTGTATGCTTTGTCATATTGACACAAAATTTGACACACACATGTATCTCAATAAGATCTACGAAAAAGTCAATGCGCGCGTATCTGTAAAATGTACGGTTAAAGGGCTATTTTGCATTTTTTGCCGATTAGCACACATTGGAATGTGGCTAACTCCTCCTAAGGCTTTCGTCCCACTGACACCAAATTTGCTCAGGCCAATCTACACCCCATGGCCATTCAAAGTTTTTAAAAATCATGACGCTGCACCCCACGGTTTACGTTCTAGGGGGCGCCAAAGATGACCCAAATATCCACATTCTTAAAAGAATCCACATTCCCCCCCCCCCCCATCCCCCATCCCCCATCCCCCATGGCAGGAGAAACAGTCAAGTTTTTCCTGCCCATCACTCAATGGCTCAATCGCATCGCTCTCCCGGCAACACCGTAACGAGGAGCAACTTGCCGTTTGGATATATCCTAGCTGTGTTTGTGCCCTCACTCATGGTCCAGACTTTTTTCAAATAGGACATGTAGTTTGTCTGCAGCGAGTGCTTTGGTAGAAACTGCGCCTCCCATTCATTATAATGGGAAATGACCACAGACAAGTGCGCACACCATCTTTGGACCTTGAGTGTGACGCGATCGGGAGGGGGAGGCGGTCGCACTGGGGGCGGCGCAACGCGGCTCGGGCCCGCCAGTGCCCCAACGGGGCCCTAGTTAGGGCCCGAGCCAGCTGCAGAGCAGCCGGGCGTAGGCCCTATTATTCCCCAAGTGGTTTTTCTTTGTTTCTTTCTTTCTTTCTTTCTTTCTTTCTTTCTTCTTTTTCCTCCCCTTTGAACTGGAAAATGGCCCACTTCCCACTGCCGAAAACTCATGAAATTTGGCAGGACGACCGGGCCTGGTGAAAAATTCGATATTCTGAAGTCGCCCAAACAATAAAATGCAAAATGGCTCCATAGCGCCCCCTAAGGTGGAAATTCACACTATTGACTGTCACGCCTGTACGCTTTGTCATATTGACACAAAAATTGACACACATATGTATCTCAATAAGATCTACAAAAAAGTCAGTGCGGCCGTATCTGTCAAATGTACGGTTAAAGGGTTATTTCGCATTTTTTGCCGATCCGCACACATTGGAATTTCGCTAACTCCTCCGAAGGCTTTCGTTCCACCGGCACCACATTTGCTCAGGCCAATCTACACCCCATGGCCATTAAAAGTTATTCAAATCATGACGCTGCACCCCACGGTTTAGGTTCTAGGGGGCGCCAAAGATAACCCTAAAATCCACATATTTAAAAGTCTTATAACTTTTTATTTTTGCCCTCACTGGCCTCCAAGTTTTCTAGGATGATGCAATGTCCAGCCATCAACACATTTGTGAAGGAATTTTTACTCCCCAAAAGAGCGCCCCCCCATGGCAGGAGAAAAAAGTCCATTTTTTCTTGTCCCCTAAGGTGAAAATTCACACTATTGACTGTCACGCCTGTACGCTTTGTCAAAATGACACAAAAATTGACACACACATGTATCTCAATAAGATCTACAAAAAAGTCCATGCGCGCGTATCTGTCTAATGTACGGTTAAAGGGTTATTTCGCATTTTTTGCCGATCCGCACACATTGGAATTTCGCTAACTCCTCCGAAGGCTTTCGTTCCACCGGCACCACATTTGCTCAGGCCAATCTACACCCCATGGCCATTAAAAGTTATTCAAATCATGACGCTGCACCCCACGGTTTACGTTCTAGGGGGCGCCAAAGATAACCCAAAAATCCACATTTTTAAAAGTCTTATAACTTTTTATTTTTGTCCTCACTGGCCTCCAAGTTTTCTAGGATGATGCAATGTCCAGCCATCAACACATTTGTGAAGGAATTTTTACTCCCCAAAAGAGCGCCCCCCATGGCAGGAGAAAAAAGTCAATTTTTTCTTGTCCCCTAAGGTGAAAATACACATTGTTGACTGTCACGCCTGTACGCTTTGGCAAAATGACACAAAAATTGACAATCATGTGTATCTCAATTAGATCTACGAAAAAGTCAAAGAGCGCGTATCTGTATAATGTACGGTAAAAGGGCTATTTTGCATTTTTTGCCGATTCGCACACATTGGAATTTCGCTAACTCCTCCTAAGGCTTTCGTCCCACTGACACCAAATTTGCTCAGGCCAATCTACACTCCATGGCCATTCAAAGTTGTAAAAATCATGACGCTGCACCCCACGGTTTACGTTTTAGGGGGCGCCAAAGATGACCCAAATATACATTACAGTAGACAAAGTAGTTTTGCCCACTGAGTGGCGCCAAAGGGACTTGTCTGTGGAGTCTGTGAGTCACTATTGGCCGTTTTTGACTACTTTAGATTTTACCTTTATATTTCCTCTTACAAAATTTTTACCTTGCCTTGCCTGGTATCATTTTTTTCAGCACAACCTCACCTGTGTCAATTTACAGTTATTTTATCATTTTGACATACTATATTTACACATTGGACCCAAATTCACACACAAAACATAAAATCCGAGTGGAAAAAAGTAATGTTTTTACTGTGAAAACCACAAATATGTGTGATGAACTGTTTTTAAAACTTAAACTTCAAATAAAAATTGTAAACTTCAAAACATATGCAAATTTTTAACAAAGAACATAGTAATTTACCTCTATTGACATCAAAATGCAGGCAATGGCCCAGGTGTTCTTTGTAAAATTATTTACAAAACACTGTATAGTCTCACAAATGTCACTTTTTATTTATGCCACTACAAAAAAACATGATGTAAATGATGCATGATGTAAAACATGATGTAAAAAACTTGTGTAGATCCTCCTCTATGTTAGTCCATGTGTAATTTTTCCATAATTCTTTGTTTTTTGCAGCATTTTTGTTAGTGTAACTGCAGATTGTGCTGACAGTGTCTATGGCAAAAAAAAAAAAAACAAACTGAAAATGCCTCAACATGAACCCCTGGTGGTCTCTGAGGGTGAAACCTGCTAACTGCTGCAGCTCTGTCAGCTTCAGTCTCCCATGCAGAGCTCGGAGCGCATGTGTGGCTCTGCACCCTTAGCAGCGTTGCTAACTCCTCAGTAAGGAAAGCCTGCTTCATGTCAGAGTCTCTAAACTCCAGAAGAAGTCGATAAAAGTCCCTTTCTTTCTAAAAAAAAGTCGTTAGGGGGTCTGAAAAGTCATTGAATCTAACAACAAAGTCGCTAGGTTTGCAACTACGTGTCCCAGACTGCATCCCTGCTGAGAGTCCCTCCCTCCCTTCTCATATTGCAGGAAGAACGTAAGTTCTCGCCCCTTGTCAATCAGTCACCATATAATTTTGGATTGGTTGTTGTGGTGAAGTTTTCCACCAATAGGAGAGATGTTGTGGTGTGTATTTTTTTTCCTTTGGCAAGCCTTTTCCGCCTGTAAGACCTGTCGCTAATGTCTGCATGCTATGTTTTCCTGTCTCATACAGCGCGATCGAGCGCCGAACGTGATCAAAATAAGCAGAAAACAAGTATCGCGGACATAATTTATCATAACTCTGGTTTTATTTGGCCTATCAACACAATTTAAAAACTGGTATATAGGTTGAGGTCCTCACTTTTGAGATAAATTGAAACGGAGAGTCAACGAGGCTCCGTCTTGCAGCTACATCCGGTTAAATATGTCATGTGACTTGAACGCACACACACACACACACACACAGACACACACACACACACGCACACACACACACTCAGAGTCTGGTTTGTAGCACCTGCAAAAACATGCTATTTACATATTTGACAAGAATGCAGAGGCTCCTTTTGCCCCTGAAAAAAATCAAATTTCAAACACAACTTGACTGGTCATTTCTCCAAAAGACAACCATGAAGCTCCATCCAAACCTGAAGCAGGCAGTTGGTGCATGTGTACAGTAACCTGAGGGGAGTGAGGTGACTGCTTCTGAGGAGAACATGAGCAGTGAAGATTTACCTTAGAGCTAGAACAGAGACGTGCACATGATTATACAGGGGCAGGGGCTCAAGTTTTTTCCAGTCGTTTATACAATTTGGAAATTAATGTGAAATTAAAAAACAAAGTATTAATAGAAAGGTAATGACTGTCCTGTGTAGGTGACAGTGATATCCAATAGGCTAGGCACTCACGAGGCTGGCTGTGGCAAGTGTAAGTGAAAGCAACACGCACTGGCAGGAAGAACAGCAAACGCCGATGAAGGAAAAGGGTCTTTGCAGTGATGGGCGTTACCAAAGAGGGCGATGGCCAGAGGACACAAATGGGACGGGGAGGCAGCGCGTTGGGGGGGGGACGCGACACAGCTCGGGCCCGCCAGTGCCCCAACGGGGTCCTAGTTATTATTATTTTTCCTCCCCTTTGAACTGGAAAATGGCCCACTTCCCACTGGCGAAAACTCATGAAATTTGGCAGGACGACCGGGCCTGGTGAAAAATTTGATATTCCGAAGTCGCCCAAACAAGAAAATGCAAAATGGCTCCATAGCGCCCCCTAAGGTGAAAATTCACACTATTCACTGTCACGCCGGTACGCTTTGTCAAAATGACACAAAAATTGACACACACATGTATCTCAATAAGATCTACAAAAAAGTCAGTGCGGGCGTATCTGTCAAATGTACGGTTAAAGGGTTATTTCGCATTTTTTGCCGATCCGCACACATTGGAATTTCGCTAACTCCTCCGAAGGCTTTCGTTCCACCGGCACCACATTTGCTCAGGCCAATCTACACCCCATGGCCATTAAAAGTTATTCAAATCATGACGCTGCACCCCACGGTTTAGGTTCTAGGGGGCGCCAAAGATAACCCTAAGATCCACATATTTAAAAGTCTTATAACTTTTTATTTTTGCCCTCACTGGCCTCCAAGTTTTCTAGGATGATGCAATGTCCAGCCATCAACACATTTGTGAAGGAATTTTTACTCCCCAAAAGAGCGCCCCCCCATGGCAGGAGAAAAAAGTCCATTTTTTCTTGTCCCCTAAGGTGAAAATACACATTGTTGAGTGTAACACCTGTACGCTTTGGCAAAATGACACAAAAATTGACACACACATGTATCTCAATAAGATCTTCGAAAAAGTCAATGGCCACGTATCTGTAAAATGTACGGTTAAAGGGTTATTTCGCATTTTTTGCAGATTCGCACACATTGGAATTTGGCTAACTCCTCCTAAGGCTTTCGTCCCACTGACACCAAATTTGCTCAGGCCAATCTACACCCCATGGCCATTCAAAGTTGTAAAAATCATGACGCTGCACCCCACGGTTTACGTTCTAGGGGGCGCCAAAGATGACCCAAAAATCCACATTCTTAAAAGAATCCACATCCCCCCCTATGGCAGGAGAAAAAGTCAAGTTTTTCCTGCCCATCGCTCAATGGCTCAATCGCATCGCTCTCCAGGCAACACCGTAAGGAGGAGCAACCTGGCATTTCGATATATCATAGCTGTGTTTGTGCCCTCACTCATGGTCCAGACTTTTTTCAAATAGGACATGAAGTTTGTCTGCAGCGAGTGTTTTGGTAGAAACTGCGCCTCCCATTCATTATAATGGGAAATGACCACAGACAAGTGCGCACACCATCTTTGGACCTTGAGTGTGACGCGATCGGGAGGGGGAGGCGGTCGCACTGGGGGCGGCGCAACGCGGCTCGGGCCCGCCAGTGCCCCAACGGGGCCCTAGTTAGGGCCCGAGCCAGCTGCAGAGCAGCCGGGCGTAGGCCCTATTATTCCCCAAGTGGTTTTTCTTTGTTTCTTTCTTTCTTTCTTTAGGGCCCGAGCGTAGCTGCTAAGCAGCTGCGAGAGCCCTCTTGTTCCTGCATGTTTCCTTCTTTTGTTATTATTATTATTTTTCCTCCCCTTTGAACTGGAAAATGGCCCACTTCCCACTGGCGAAAACTCATGAAATTTGGCAGGACGACCGGGCCTGGTGAAAAATTTGATATTCCGAAGTCGCCCAAACAAGAAAATGCAAAATGGCTCCATAGCGCCCCCTAAGGTGAAAATTCACACTATTGACTGTCACGCCTGTACGCTTTGTCATATTGACACAAAAATTGACACACGTATGTATCTCAATAAGATCTACAAAAAAGTCAGTGCGGGCGTATCTGTCAAATGTACGGTTAAAGGGTTATTTCGCATTTTTTGCCGATCCGCACACATTGGAATTTCGCTAACTCCTCCGAAGGCTTTCGTTCCACCGGCACCACATTTGCTCAGGCCAATCTACACCCCATGGCCATTAAAAGTTATTCAAATCATGACGCTGCACCCCACGGTTTAGGTTCTAGGGGGCGCCAAAGATAACCGTAAAATCCACATATTTAAAAGTCTTATAACTTTTTATTTTTGCCCTCACTGGCCTCCAAGTTTTCTAGGATGATGCAATGTCCAGCCATCAACACATTTGTGAAGGAATTTTTACTCCCCAAAAGAGCGCCCCCCCATGGCAGGAGAAAAAAGTCCATTTTTTCTTGTCCCCTAAGGTGAAAATACACATTGTTGAGTGTAACACCTGTATGCTTTGGCAAAATGACACAAAAATTGACACACACATGTATCTCAATAAGATCTACGAAAAAGTCATAGCGCGCGTATCTGTCAAATGTACGGTTAAAGGGTTATTCCGCATTTTTTGCCGATCCGCACACATTGGAATTTCGCTAACTCCTCCGAAGGCTTTCGTTCCACCGGCACCACATTTGCTCTGGCCAATCTACACCCCATGGCCATTAAAAGTTATTCAAATCATGACGCTGCACCCCACGGTTTAGGTTCTAGGGGGCGCCAAAGATAACCGTAAAATCCACATATTTAAAAGTCTTATAACTTTTTATTTTTGTCCCCACTGGCCTCCAAGTTTTCTAGGATGATGCAATGTCCAGCCATCAACACATTTGTGAAGGAATTTTTACTCGCCAAAAGAGCGCCCCCCATGGCAGGAGAAAAAAGTCCATTTTTTCTTGTCCACTAAGGTGAAAATACACATTGTTGAGTGCTACGCCTGTATGTTTTGTCGTATTGACACAAAATTTTACATACACGTGTCTTTCAATAAGATCTTCAAAAAAGTCAATGGCCACGTATCTGTCAAATGTACGGTTAAAGGGTTATTTCGCATTTTTTGCAGATTCGCACACATTGGAATTTCGCTAACTCCTCCGAAGGCTTTCGTTCCACCGGCACCACATTTGCTCAGGCCAATCTACACCCCGTGGCCAGTAAAAGTTATCAAAATCATGACGCTGCACCCCAAGGTTTAGGTTCTAGGGGGCGCCAAAGATAACCCTAAAATCCACATATTTAAAAGTCTTATAACTTTTTATTTTTGTCCTCACTGGCCTCCAAGTTTTCTAGGATGATGCAATGTCCAGCCATCAACACATTTGTGAAGGAATTTTTACTCCCCAAAAGAGCGCCCCCCCATGGCAGGAGAAAAAAGTCCATTTTTTCTTGTCCCATAAGGTGAAAAAACACATTGTTGACTGTCATACCTGTACGCTTTGTCATATTGACACAAAATTTGACAATCACATGTATCTCAATAAGATCTACGAAAAAGTCAATGCGCGCGTATCTGTAAAATGTACGGTTAAAGGGCTATTTTGCATTTTTTGCCGATTCGCACACATTGGAATGTGGCTAACTCCTCCTAAGGCTTTCGTCCCACTGACACCAAATTTGCTCAGGCCAATCTACACCCCATGGCCATTCAAAGTTGTAAAAATCATGACGCTGCACCTCACGGTTTACGTTCTAGGGGGCGCCAAAGATGACCCAAATATCCACATTCTTAAAAGAATCCACATCCCCCCCCCATCCCCCATCCCCCATGGCAGGAGAAACAGTCAAGTTTTTCCTGCCCATCACTCAATGGCTCAATCGCATCACTCTCCCGGCAACACTGTAACGAGGAGCAACTTGCCGTTTGGATATATCCTAGCTGTGTTTGTGCCCTCACTCATGGTCCAGACTTTTTTCAAATAGGACATGTAGTTTGTCTGCAGCGAGTGTTTTGGTAGAAACTGCGCCTCCCATTCATTATAATGGGAAATGACCACAGACAAGTGCGCACACCATCTTTGGACCTTGAGTGTGACGCGATCGGGAGGGGGAGGCGGTCGCGCTGGGGGCGGCGCAACGCGGCTCGGGCCCGACAGTGCCCCACCGGGGTCCTAGTTCTTTCTTTCTTTCTTCTTTTTCCTCCCCTTTGAACTGGAAAATGGCCCACTTCCCACTGCCGAAAACTCATGAAATTTGGCAGGACGACCGGGCCTGGTGAAAAATTCGATATTCTGAAGTCGCCCAAACAATAAAATGCAAAATGGCTCCATAGCGCCCCCTAAGGTGGAAATTCACACTATTGACTGTCACGCCTGTACGCTTTGTCATATTGACACAAAAATTGACACACATATGTATCTCAATAAGATCTACAAAAAAGTCAGTGCGGCCGTATCTGTCAAATGTACGGTTAAAGGGTTATTTCGCATTTTTTGCCGATCCGCACACATTGGAATTTCGCTAACTCCTCCGAAGGCTTTCGTTCCACCGGCACCACATTTGCTCAGGCCAATCTACACCCCATGGCCATTAAAAGTTATTCAAATCATGACGCTGCACCCCACGGTTTAGGTTCTAGGGGGCGCCAAAGATAACCCTAAAATCCACATATTTAAAAGTCTTATAACTTTTTATTTTTGCCCTCACTGGCCTCCAAGTTTTCTAGGATGATGCAATGTCCAGCCATCAACACATTTGTGAAGGAATTTTTACTCCCCAAAAGAGCGCCCCCCCATGGCAGGAGAAAAAAGTCCATTTTTTCTTGTCCCCTAAGGTGAAAATTCACACTATTGACTGTCACGCCTGTACGCTTTGTCAAAATGACACAAAAATTGACACACACATGTATCTCAATAAGATCTACAAAAAAGTCCATGCGCGCGTATCTGTCTAATGTACGGTTAAAGGGTTATTTCGCATTTTTTGCCGATCCGCACACATTGGAATTTCGCTAACTCCTCCGAAGGCTTTCGTTCCACCGGCACCACATTTGCTCAGGCCAATCTACACCCCATGGCCATTAAAAGTTATTCAAATCATGACGCTGCACCCCACGGTTTACGTTCTAGGGGGCGCCAAAGATAACCCAAAAATCCACATTTTTAAAAGTCTTATAACTTTTTATTTTTGTCCTCACTGGCCTCCAAGTTTTCTAGGATGATGCAATGTCCAGCCATCAACACATTTGTGAAGGAATTTTTACTCCCCAAAAGAGCGCCCCCCATGGCAGGAGAAAAAAGTCAATTTTTTCTTGTCCCCTAAGGTGAAAATACACATTGTTGACTGTCACGCCTGTACGCTTTGGCAAAATGACACAAAAATTGACAATCATGTGTATCTCAATTAGATCTACGAAAAAGTCAAAGAGCGCGTATCTGTATAATGTACGGTAAAAGGGCTATTTTGCATTTTTTGCCGATTCGCACACATTGGAATTTCGCTAACTCCTCCTAAGGCTTTCGTCCCACTGACACCAAATTTGCTCAGGCCAATCTACACTCCATGGCCATTCAAAGTTGTAAAAATCATGACGCTGCACCCCACGGTTTACGTTTTAGGGGGCGCCAAAGATGACCCAAATATACATTACAGTAGACAAAGTAGTTTTGCCCACTGAGTGGCGCCAAAGGGACTTGTCTGTGGAGTCTGTGAGTCACTATTGGCCGTTTTTGACTACTTTAGATTTTACCTTTATATTTCCTCTTACAAAATTTTTACCTTGCCTTGCCTGGTATCATTTTTTTCAGCACAACCTCACCTGTGTCAATTTACAGTTATTTTATCATTTTGACATACTATATTTACACATTGGACCCAAATTCACACACAAAACATAAAATCCGAGTGGAAAAAAGTAATGTTTTTACTGTGAAAACCACAAATATGTGTGATGAACTGTTTTTAAAACTTAAACTTCAAATAAAAATTGTAAACTTCAAAACATATGCAAATTTTTAACAAAGAACATAGTAATTTACCTCTATTGACATCAAAATGCAGGCAATGGCCCAGGTGTTCTTTGTAAAATTATTTACAAAACACTGTATAGTCTCACAAATGTCACTTTTTATTTATGCCACTACAAAAAAACATGATGTAAATGATGCATGATGTAAAACATGATGTAAAAAACTTGTGTAGATCCTCCTCTATGTTAGTCCATGTGTAATTTTTCCATAATTCTTTGTTTTTTGCAGCATTTTTGTTAGTGTAACTGCAGATTGTGCTGACAGTGTCTATGGCAAAAAAAAAAAAAACAAACTGAAAATGCCTCAACATGAACCCCTGGTGGTCTCTGAGGGTGAAACCTGCTAACTGCTGCAGCTCTGTCAGCTTCAGTCTCCCATGCAGAGCTCGGAGCGCATGTGTGGCTCTGCACCCTTAGCAGCGTTGCTAACTCCTCAGTAAGGAAAGCCTGCTTCATGTCAGAGTCTCTAAACTCCAGAAGAAGTCGATAAAAGTCCCTTTCTTTCTAAAAAAAAGTCGTTAGGGGGTCTGAAAAGTCATTGAATCTAACAACAAAGTCGCTAGGTTTGCAACTACGTGTCCCAGACTGCATCCCTGCTGAGAGTCCCTCCCTCCCTTCTCATATTGCAGGAAGAACGTAAGTTCTCGCCCCTTGTCAATCAGTCACCATATAATTTTGGATTGGTTGTTGTGGTGAAGTTTTCCACCAATAGGAGAGATGTTGTGGTGTGTATTTTTTTTCCTTTGGCAAGCCTTTTCCGCCTGTAAGACCTGTCGCTAATGTCTGCATGCTATGTTTTCCTGTCTCATACAGCGCGATCGAGCGCCGAACGTGATCAAAATAAGCAGAAAACAAGTATCGCGGACATAATTTATCATAACTCTGGTTTTATTTGGCCTATCAACACAATTTAAAAACTGGTATATAGGTTGAGGTCCTCACTTTTGAGATAAATTGAAACGGAGAGTCAACGAGGCTCCGTCTTGCAGCTACATCCGGTTAAATATGTCATGTGACTTGAACGCACACACACACACACACACACAGACACACACACACACACGCACACACACACACTCAGAGTCTGGTTTGTAGCACCTGCAAAAACATGCTATTTACATATTTGACAAGAATGCAGAGGCTCCTTTTGCCCCTGAAAAAAATCAAATTTCAAACACAACTTGACTGGTCATTTCTCCAAAAGACAACCATGAAGCTCCATCCAAACCTGAAGCAGGCAGTTGGTGCATGTGTACAGTAACCTGAGGGGAGTGAGGTGACTGCTTCTGAGGAGAACATGAGCAGTGAAGATTTACCTTAGAGCTAGAACAGAGACGTGCACATGATTATACAGGGGCAGGGGCTCAAGTTTTTTCCAGTCGTTTATACAATTTGGAAATTAATGTGAAATTAAAAAACAAAGTATTAATAGAAAGGTAATGACTGTCCTGTGTAGGTGACAGTGATATCCAATAGGCTAGGCACTCACGAGGCTGGCTGTGGCAAGTGTAAGTGAAAGCAACACGCACTGGCAGGAAGAACAGCAAACGCCGATGAAGGAAAAGGGTCTTTGCAGTGATGGGCGTTACCAAAGAGGGCGATGGCCAGAGGACACAAATGGGACGGGGAGGCAGCGCGTTGGGGGGGGGACGCGACACAGCTCGGGCCCGCCAGTGCCCCAACGGGGTCCTAGTTATTATTATTTTTCCTCCCCTTTGAACTGGAAAATGGCCCACTTCCCACTGGCGAAAACTCATGAAATTTGGCAGGACGACCGGGCCTGGTGAAAAATTTGATATTCCGAAGTCGCCCAAACAAGAAAATGCAAAATGGCTCCATAGCGCCCCCTAAGGTGAAAATTCACACTATTCACTGTCACGCCGGTACGCTTTGTCAAAATGACACAAAAATTGACACACACATGTATCTCAATAAGATCTACAAAAAAGTCAGTGCGGGCGTATCTGTCAAATGTACGGTTAAAGGGTTATTTCGCATTTTTTGCCGATCCGCACACATTGGAATTTCGCTAACTCCTCCGAAGGCTTTCGTTCCACCGGCACCACATTTGCTCAGGCCAATCTACACCCCATGGCCATTAAAAGTTATTCAAATCATGACGCTGCACCCCACGGTTTAGGTTCTAGGGGGCGCCAAAGATAACCCTAAGATCCAC